TTTTTTTAAATCTGAAATGCGCATTTGCCGAACATGTAAAGCCTCCAGCTGATCAGAAGCCCTTTTCTCCAACACATTTGGCCTATTGATGGGTCACTGGGACCCTAAACCAAACACCCTGTCTGCGCTCTGCCTGCTACCTAAACCCCCCTCCCCACCTCCAGGGGCACCCCAGACCCTTCCTAAGTTCCAGATGAAGACGTACAGAGCGGGTGGGGCCAACGGAGCAGGAAACCGCCTGCCACTTCCAGCCCAGGGGGATCTGCCACCTCCTGTCACCCGCTGCCTGTCTCCCACATTTCTCCAGAAATCTGACATTTGGGGTTTGTGGTGGGGGGAGGAGGACAAAAAGGCAAAAGGCAAACCTCTGACTGACAGCTGATGGCTCATTCCTCTGGTTATAGCTTCATTTGGTTAAGGAAGGGGTGATAACACGTGAAAACGAATCACCTGTGATCAAGAGCCTTCCCTCCAGTGGCGATAAAATGGGGATTCTAAGGAGGAATTGGCGGCAATGGCTGAGAGAGATATCCGAGGTAAGTTTTCAAGATTCTGACTGAGAAGCCGACACCTCGAGCCGCCAAGTGGGGTCCACACTCTCTTAAAAGCTTATCAGGAGGCTTCCGCTTCTCAGTCATCCGGCTACAGCCAGAGCCTGGGCTAAGTGGGCACTCTTGGGTCTCATCCCTGTTCGTTCTCAGCACGGGACTGACAAGCAGGGACAGACGAGCAAACTGAGGGCCAGAAAAGTGAAGCGGCTGGCCCGGGCAGCCACTGGAATCACACCCCTCCCCACCGACACCCAAGTCCGTGCTCCTTTGATCCCCCCGGCTCCTCCCCAGAGGGACCCACCATCAGAGAGGCCACCATAGAACAGTAACAACGTGACCAAAGATGGCAGGGGGAGGGGAGCACACAACAGCTGTTCAGACATTGTGTCCGATGGTGGAGTTCTCCGAAGCCAATGGAAGTTTCTCCCCCAGTTCCCAGAAGCCCTCCATTAGCTATGCTGCCCCCAGGAAATGGAGCTGGGGAACCAGCACCAGTAGGGGGGAAGGTGCCCGTCTTGGCAGGGGCATCCTGTGCGCCAGGCAGGTACGCGTCATTTCAGCACCGCAGTTACGTTAGGAGCACTCCGTCAGGACACGGCAGCTCAGGAGGTCGGGTAACATGGCCCAAGGCTGGCAGGCGACAGAGTGGGGCTCAGACATGCACTGGGTCCCTTCCCACATGGCAGCATGCGGCCTCCCTCGCACGGGCCACGAACCCCAAACACCCCAGGCCCCTTCTCCCCACCCCTCCTCAAGACACCCATCCCACAAAATGGCTCAGAGACTCCCGCTCTTCGCAAACCCTGGAAGCCATCTCACCTGCCCCTCACCCCCACACCAGGGTCAGCTACTCCCATGTCCCCGAGCTCTGCCAGAAGTGGGAGGATGCCGTGGGAAGGGGGCTCAGGCAAGGTAAAGAACTCCTTTATAGGCAGACCTGAGTCAGGTCTCCAGGCCAGAGCCCCCCACCTCGGCTCTGGGCCTCAGACACAGGCTGCGTAGCCCTGCACACGACCAAGGTGCAGGGCCCCGGGGCCACAGCTGCACACGTCAGGGGCAGAGCTGCTACTGCTTGCACTTGGGCCATGTCCCCCAAGGGCGACAGAGCAGCAGCCCAGATGGCCGTCCTCCCACCATGCTCACCCGCCCAGGGTGGGGGTTCTGTCACCTCACGGCCGGGGGGGATGCTCAGGACAGAGGAAGAACAGTAGGTGCTTGTTTATTAAATGAGCAAACGAATGAATGGATGAATGCCCTCCGAGTCACAAAGCTCCAGAAAGTTCCTCCTTCTACTGTCCTACTTCTCTATCATTAAAATAAATAAAGATATAAAAGAAAGGAAAAAAATGATTAGCTACTCTTTTTATGCCCATCTCTGGACTCCAGTGTCCCAAAGGAAAGGGCCAATCCAGGATCCAGCCCTGGTCCAATGACTGATAGGATTCCAACTCCGGTGTCGCGCTGGGAGGCACCCTTAAAGGCGGAAGGGATCCCACCTATTCCACAGGCCAACCCTGCTCATCTATCTCTGCAGCCCCGCCTCTAGAAGCACCTGGCAGCGAGGAGGGCTAGGACCCATCTGGACAACACTCAGATTGTTGGTTCCCCGAAAGGCATGACCCTCATGGTCATGGCGGGCACCTCCCTTGGGACAGCCGAGCCAGAGGCCAAGTCCCAAGTGTTAACAGCCACCCGCTCCCCAGCAACTGGCCCTGGGGACAACGGCAGGGCTCGGACAGGCCGGAGCATCCCTCCCCACCATGGCCGGGAAGCAGGAACAGGAGAGGCCTGGGAGAAGCCAGCGGTACCAGGGGCCTGGGTGGCAGCTGTGCGGATTTCCGGAAGCCCGGGCGGAGAAGCGCCTGTGATTCCTAGTCCCCCTCTTAAAATATAAAGACTCAATTATCTTTGAGCAGCTTGCTTTACACATGAATTGACACATTTATTTTACAATAAATAACTGAAAGTTATCTGTGTTTCCTTTACTGTTAATCTACACAGAGAAATAATAAACAGGGCTTGTCTACAAAAATGCAAGTAGTGCAGTCCTCAGAATTCAATTAAGCTAAAATAATTAATGCTCCCACCATATTAAATTACTTTATACATTTGAGCCACTGAAGTTTTATTCTTTAATCTTTCCTTTTTATTAAATAAATAAGAAAGAAAGAAAAGTTGGTGCCAAGGCAGGGAGGGAAGAAGGGGAAGGAGGGCCAGCGAGAAGGCGCGACGTGCCACCAGAACGGGACGGTCGTCTTCAGCTGACACAGCATGGAGACTGTTTTGTGCCTTTGATTAAAATAACATTTTAAAGGCTTTGAACAAACATATCTCTTTAGACTTCTAAGGGATTATTTTACATATTTCTTCAAGAATGAAGAAATCCATTCGTCCTGTTGCTGAACAGAAAAGGCCAAGAATATCTTCCGTCACACACAGAATAAAAATACCGTGGGCTGCTGCCGTACTACGACCCAAGAAAAGGGGCACAGGGGGCTGGCTGGGGGGTGAGGACAAAGCCGCCTTGCAGATTAACTTTGCCTTTTATGAAATCACATCTAGTGGCTTTCTTAAACAAACCTACCCACAATGATCGGCAGCCTCTCGCTGGGAAGTGCCTTCATCGCGAAGGGAGGATTCGGATGGGTTTTGGTGAAAGCAGAATGCCTTCCCATGGAAATAGAAGTAGGGACCAGAGTCTCACAGGCAAGGTCTGTGGTCACTGACGCCGGGTGTTTATTCCACTGCAGAAAGACTGGTCCTCTGGTGTCAAAGAAAAGAAACGCACGGGGACCCCAACAACACCAACAAAAGGGACCCGGCACCTTTTGGGATGGGAGGCTCCAGCTCTAACGAAGGCAGCATCATTCATCTCTGCAGGGCACTCTGAGAAGCCAAGGTTTACATGACCGTGGCCCCGAACATGCTGGACGTTTCTCTCAAAGCCCTTGGCAACTTGAGAGCATGAGAAACGTCCCTAGAGATCACCAGCCAAAAGGGAAGGCCCACAGGCCAGTAAGATTTGGTGGGGTCTCCCCTGCACCTAGCATGTGCCAGCAGGAGTCTGCATTCCACCACAGCCTCTCACTAATCCCTAAGAGAGATCTCACTAATCCCATTTGAAAGATGGGCAAATTGAGGCCAGAGGTCTCAGACTCGCCACGTGGCTTGCCCTCTGGGGGATGCGGCCCTCAGCTCCATCCTGCCCGGGGCAGCGGGTGTCTTGGGCTACAGCAGGCTCACCCTCCAAGGAGGAGCCCCCAGAGCCTCAGTCCCTCCAGCACCTCCGCTAGCTTCCATGCCCAAAACACAGCCGGCCCCTACTTACACACCGCAGCCCCAGAGGGGACCCCTGAGAGGAAATTTCCACTGGCACAGAGCCTCTGCTCATTCAATGCTCACACCAGGCCTGCCAGGATTCTCAGTCCCTGTTGACAGATAGGAAACTGAGGCCTGGACCCAGGAAGCGGCTTGCCCAGAGTGTACCAGTGGGGTGTGACCTCTCACGTACGCGCTTGCTGGTGCCATCTTGCTGCGGGACCGGCTGCCGCTTACCACAGGAACACCAGCCACCATGGGCCGCTATCTTTGCCGGGCCTCCCAGGCTCAGAAGTCGGACCTGCGGCAAATACTGGGGCTTCCACAGAACACGGGCTCCCTGGAGGAGGCTCTGTCATGCCATGGCCACGGCCCGGCGGGATACGGTGTCAACTCCCTATAGCCAGAGGACACAACCAAAACACCCATTCTTCAGGTGGGAAAAGTCAGCTGTCCAGGTGGTCAGACGAAAGGGGCGCAGCACTCCAACAAGTTCCCACAAGCCCTTCCCTAGACCTGCCAGAAGGACCAGGCGACATGAGAAGGAGCCTCTGGGAGCAGGGCACCTCTTTTTACAGATGGGAAACAGGAGGCCAGAGAGAGGAAGAGGAGGGAGTGAGTTCTCCCATTCCTAAGTGCCTACCAGGCCCTGCGCACAGGCCACGTCTCATTAGACCTCACCACAAGCCTATGGAGATCAGTCTCATTAGCTCCATTTCACAGATAGAAAAACTGACTTGTCCACGTTGTGAAGAACAGATTCCAACCCAAGACTGTCTGGCGGCACAGCCAGAGACTAAGCCAAGAACACGAGCAAACTGAGGGTCACTTCGCCTTCCAAACTTCCATTCTGTACTCCTGGCCACCTACGGATTAGGCCCCGCAGCAGAGTGTCATTGCGAAAGGCAAAGCGACCATTGGCCAGCTGTGCTGCTCGGAGCCCCAAGCCCGTCTTGTCCTGAGGGGCACCCAGATAGCAGCCCCCCGAAACGGGCAAGCCCTGGCTGGTGGTACTATCCCGGTAACCCCTGACCCCTCCCAGGCCCGACACCCAGAACGACGAAGGGGCAGGCGGGCGTGGGACCTGGGAGGTGGCTTCCGCGGTGGCCTGGCCAGGGCAATGTTCCATACCTGCAATGTTCTCCTGCTTGGGGCAGATGCCTTTCGTGGGTGAGAGCAGGTGGTCATCTTCGTCGGGGGTGACCTGGATCCCGATCTCCACCGGCTCGGACACTTTCCTGAGCTCGGAGCGTGAGGAGGGCGGCGGGCTGCCTTTGTCCAGGCCTTTGTCATAGCAAGCACCCAGGCCACCGCACTGCTTCTTCTTGTGCTCTATAAAAACCAGGATGTCCCCCAGAGGGAAGTTCATCTGACACTGTCCACAGGTGAGCAGGTCAGGGTCGGGGCCACCCACCATCAGCCCCAGGCTGCTGGGCTCCTCTATCTCCAGACCCTCGTCTTCTTCGAGGATGGCGGCCTCCACATGGTCAGCCTCTGCTGGAGAGAGAGAGGAGAAAGGGGCAGAGAAGACAGAGATGGGCTTAGGCAATCACGGGCACCCATCAACCATTCCATACCTTCCCCACCGAGAAGAGGCCCCTCCGCTGCAGGGTCCCAGAGGTCACCGAATCCCCACATGATTCCTGGAGGCCACAGATGGGCAAACTGAGGCTCTGAGAGTAACATCACCGCCCATGGAACTGGTTGCTTAACTGATGCTAAACTTTCTGCTTTGTCATTTATCTACTGTTAATTCCCAAGCCCCCCACCCCCACATACCAGGTAAACACATCCACGTGCACATACCCCCCCATCCCACTTTCACAAGAGGCTCAGGGTCCTGGGCCCCGTACTTCAAGCTGGAGACGTGTCTCTCCCACTTTGCATCATCTGAGAATCACCTGGGGAGCCCTGAACCCCGTGCCCAGGCGGCACCCCAGACCAATTACAGCAAGATCCAAACCTCAGATTGTCTTTTTGTTTTTAAGACTCCCCAGGTGATTCCAGTGGGCCGCCAAGGCTGAGAACCGTGCGCCAGAGCCGGTTCACCCTGCCTGGGCTCGATCCGCCGCCCCCTCCCTTCCACGGTTCATTCATGTCCTCCCCATTCATGGGAGCCCTGCTTGCCATTCCTCTACCTCAGACCTGGCTGCACACCAGACAAGAAAACAGAGCCCCAGACGGGCGTCAGGCAGCCAGTCCTTAGGAGAGAAAGAAGCCCACATGCTCAGAAAGCAACAAGTGAGCGCTGGTTCGAAAAGAAACGTGGAAGGAAAAAAAAATAATAAAAAATAAAAAACAAGTCAGGGGAAGGGACTCTGCAAATCTGCTCTCTGAAAGGGGGAGCCGGCTCTGCTCCTGGTCAGACTGCTATCACTTTGTAGATTTCCAGCACTCATCAGCTCCCACTGTCCTTTTTGTTTGTTGGTTTTATTTTCACTCCCAGAAAAAGAAAAGGAAAAAAAACAAAACAAAACACCCTCTTCAGACTCCAAAAGCATTTCTTGGCAGACGACAAACCACACTTTCAATGGGCTGTACATTTTCATATTTCTTTACCAGCCGATATACTTCCCTTTTTTTTTATTTTGGAGGGGACATGGGACCCAAATATTTTGAAGCCAGTAAATGCCTCAAAACAGGAGCAACCCCCAGAGGGAGAACAGGAGGACTCGGCAGCCAAAAGTGTCATAAATAAGGGCACTGGACGATGAGGTTGCACATCCCCTTGGGCTCTGAGCAAATGTGGGTTGGTATTTTTCAAGAGCAAACAACGTGGTCGTGGAGACGGCACAAGTGTCAGGGTGCTGGGAAAAGCCAAGGGGCAGCCAGAGGTCTGACACCCGAGGAGGCAGGTAAATTTTAAGTTGTACGGTATTTAGTGAGATACAGTGAAAACCACAGAGGAACGGAGGGAAGGAATGGAAGGGAGGGAAAACACATTCCGGGGCAGTGAAGTTACTGACGGGCCAGAGCCAAAGAACAGATAATTTAAGGAAAAAATTCTGTGGCATCTTCCATCCTACATATGAATCCCTGTTCTGTATTCTCTGAACTCAGCTTCTTCAGGGCCTGTGAGAGTCCATGTGTTGAATCTAGGGTGGATGGTGTAGGACAGGTAACACGTCTGAGCCACATGTGAACAGGTTGAGGCATAGGTGTTGCTGGGAAGGAAAGTTAACATTGGAGAACCTGCCTATGTTTAGAGACGAGCAGAGAGAGTGCTCCATGAATTACCCTTGGACACGCAGGAGACCCAAGTCAATGCAAAAAAATACCCCAAAGATGAGGAAATCTTAAATCTGTTATCTCCATACCTCTAAAACACACACACACACACACACACACACACATATACACACACACTAACCTATAAGGTAAGATAAACCGTTTTCACCAAGCCAGCCCCGGGAATCATTAATTACACTTTAAAAAAAAAATCGGGAGTTTACTTAAAACAGAGTTGGAAGACAATGCTACATAATTAATTTACAATTTATTTTATGAAAAGATGCTTTGGTATGGCTGAAATGTAATCACAGCCCTCACGCCAAACGGTGATTGTAGGGGGGGTACCAGATTCCTGTGAACGGTTTGTCAGAATGGAAAAGGTAATTATTCGGTGCTTCTTTTCCCTTTAATGATCTAACATTGAGCAATACTGTTTATATTGAAAAGCTTGCACCTTTAATTACCAATTACATATACATAATTTCAGAGCCAAAGGAGAGGGCTGTGAAAACAGTTCTTTAGAAATATAAGGATGTATTGTGTGCCATTTCTAGAGCGGGAACTCTAATAGATGGGAGGAGGATGTCAAAATATTGTTTTGTTAAAAAAAAAAAAAAGGAGAGAGGCACAAAGGAAATGAGCTGAAAAGCAAAAAAGGACAAAATGAAACAGACTTCAGAAGGAGCAGGGACAAGCTCTGCGGTGGGAAGGGTGAAGGTACCCGGTCCCAAATGCCACTTGTCCACAGGCCTGGAGCTCCAATGCGTCCGCGAGGCCACCACACTTCCAGTGTGACCATCCTTGCTGGGGACAGGGAGGTGCTTCCTGCCGCTTAATAATTTAATCTTTCTCGTCCTTGTTTTGTTTTGCTTTTCATTAACTTTTTCAGCCCTGCCTGTCGTCTCCCCTGGGAGGAGTTATAGGAAGCCGGGTGGACCTCCTCTCTGCTAGGAGGCTTTAAGCTACATAATTTCAATTCGATCTTCTCATTCAAAAGAAACCCGGACTACTTTAAAAATTAGCAAAAGTCATATAAGCCTGTTCGCAGGCATTCCTGCCTCTCTGCCTTCTACCTTTTGCTGAGGACTTGGTACCAGCACTTTTGTTTTCTTTTTCTTTTTTCTTTTTTTTTTTTAACATCTGGTATTCTTTCCTTTATTTGGCTCTCTCTGCCTTTTCACTTTCCTCCTGCAGCAGTCACTGTGTCTGAAAGTATCCATTTGCTGTGCTACAGCTTGAGTCCTGCCTGGGCCCCCTGGCAGCCAAGCCCCCCTGAGCAGCCAGGCCCTGCCCCAGTCCCAAGACAGCCCTGAACCTGACCTCCTGGACCCAGGACCCCGGACCCAGCTCGAGGCCTTGAAGGGAATCCAGAGGCAAAAGAAACAAACAAACAAATCTTCCTTCCCACTGTCAGTGTTGAAAGTAAAACTCAAGATGACAGCAGGAGGGGTGTTCACCCTACTCCAAGAACGGGGTTTCCTCTCTCCCCTCCTGGGGGGGTAAGGGGGGCTCTGGGCTTCATCTGCCAAGTGAGATACTTCCCAGGAAGGTGGCAACAACGTTACCCCCAAAGTTCAGGCAGCAGAGGCAGCATGAGAACCCCTCCACTGTCAAGTTTTGGGTCACAAACAGCGTGTAGACCAGGACAGATGAGCCTGAAGGCTCGTGCTCATGGCCTTCGGAGACACCCCCAAAGACGGGCTGTGGTTTCATTTCCGCTGGCGGGCGGATACCGAGCTGGGTGTGTGGGGTGCGTGTGTGTGCGCGTGTGCACGGCCCTTCTTACAACCATATCGATAATGGAAGAAATAAAAGGAGAAAGAGCCCCCTGGGCTAGCTCAGAGAAGGGCAAAGCAGGCTGTGTCTGGCCCTCCCGGCACCCTCCTATCCCCGTCCTATGGGCATCCGGAGCCTCACGGCCCCACACAGCTCGGAGAACCAGGCCTCTGCTGGGAAAGCCAGAGTGGCCCAAACCGCCACCCAGAACTAAGAAAGCACCAGGAAAGAGAAAAGACACATAACAAAAATAGTTTTTTGAATTCCCAGACCCAGCAAACCAGCCCCTCAGGCTGTCCTGCCCGGCAAACTCAGGCCTTAAATAAAGAAGGCAAAGACGAGGTCTTTCTTCCGAGATGATTTCTGCTTTCGTGAAAAAGTCCCCAGGTGTCAGACAGCTCTGGAAAATATTGCTGCTCTCGCTATTATGAGCCGAATAAAGTAAGGGATTGCTAAAATGTTTGACTCATTAAGAGGAAAAATGAATGGAAGCAGCAGGCACCTTGCTCAAATGTACGCTATCACATCGGGGTGGGCTCTGAAATGTGAAATCCTAAAGCTCATGGACAAATGCATATTCTCTCTCTCACACACACAAACACACACAGAGTTAATTTTCTTTTACAACAAAACCACATTTTATTTACAAGGCTACACCTCCTCCCAGCTGATACACGCATTTAGAAGCAATGAAATCAGGGTTCACAAATAATAATGGATATTTGTTGTTAAGTAGATGGGGAAGCACTTGATCCGAAGTCAAACTCCCCCATGCATGAGCTCCGCTGGGAAGGAATTTGGGGCAGAAGACAAAAATGGAAAGACATCATTAACACCGACCCAGCCAAGCAGCCAACAGGCCCCCAGCAGCTGCAAGGGCTTAGCATGGCCTTACCTGGCCAGAGATTTCCCCCACACGCAGGGCTCCAAGGGCCCCCCCTGCCCTGGTCCATCTGCAACAACTGCCCCTGCACCTGCCTTTTGGGGAATTCCAGCCGAGGAGCCAACCGCCTGCTACCCCCCAAGCACAGTGCGTGTGCACTGCTACACCCAGAGGACACAGGCCCATGGCCCCCTTACCCTGCACTGATTCAGATCCAAATTTCTAACGGCTAGGCTACAGTCCAGAAGAAACATAGGAAGAATTATTGTTTCAGTGATGGGGGGGCATGGGTAGGAGAAGGGTGTGGGGGAAGGGGTGCCAGGCTCTAAAAATCGTGTGCCACCAACGTCATAGCCGCCATCCTGATGTGTACGCATGTTTACAAGAAATGCTCAGCATCCCTCCGCCAGAGCTCTGCATCTGACTGGAGACTTTACACCTGCTTCCTACGAAGACGGAGCCTTTGCCAGCAAGCCCATGCTCACCGAGAATCTGCGAAGGGATCTTTTCATTCTCCTCCCCGCAAACATTCCGGGAGGGGCTGAGACTCCAGGCGACACTGAACCACCACCAACACGCACACTCGACGGAGCGCAACACTTTCTGA